GTTAGCCGGTGGGGTGGTAAACTATCGCACTCTTGCTCGCTAAAAACAGCTGCTAGATCATTATACACCTGCGGATATTCGAGCTTACTCCCCTCCTGCAATGGTTTTGAGTCTTCCACCTCCCTATCCTCACTATGATCACACGGGCGGGGCGGCTGGGGACCCACTGCAAGTCTTAAATGACGGAACCCATCCGCCCACCACATGGTCGGGGTCCATTTATCTAACCACGCTAATCCAAGGATGATAGGTTCGGACATAGAAGGGACCACTATAAATCGCATGACCTCCCAATGGACACCTATTTCCATCCTGACAGGTTCTGTCACCAACGTGGTTGGGCCCCCCCCTAACAAGGACCCATCTACTTGCTCAAAGCGAATTGGAGACTTTAATCGGGTAACCCTAATACTCATCTGTCATGCCACCTCCTTACTAATTAGACACCTAGTGCACCCGGTGTCAATCAATGCCTGAAATGGCCTCGACTCACCGGTAACCAGGCTTGTCAGTGTTACTGGGATGGTAAATGGGACTATGGGATCACTCACCATCGGATCTTCCAACGGACCTTCGTCTTCGTATTCCTCTAATGCAGGGGAGGCATCACCTGGGGTTTGCTGGACAGGCGTCTGTCCCATTTGGTAAGCAACTCGCGATTTTTCCATCATCTTCTTTGGCGTGGCACCTGGCCTATCAACCGCTGTTGGCATGCATGTCGACTCGGGTATTACACACTCCACCGCTCGGTGGCCTGGGCGGTTGCAACGGAAGCACCCGAAGACAGGTTTCGGGTGTACAGTGCCTGGTGTTATCTGATTGGTGCTGCCCCCGGGCTGGTCCTGATTCCGGCGGGACTGTGGCTGTTCCTCACGTGCTCCAGGACAGTCCCTCAACCCAACATCTAACTCCACAGCTGCCTTGAACCAGTCAGAAAGGCGTCCTACAACCCCTCTGACCACACATGCTCGGCGTATGTTAGTGTCCAGGCCAGTGCGAAAGTGATGGATCAACAGACGATCTGGCCACGACCTAAGCCTCCCTGCCACCTTTTGGAACTCCCGGATATAATCATGCACTGGTCTGCCCCTTTGTCGCAAGCCCACTAACTGTGCCTCCGCCCATTGTAAGCAGGTTGGGTCCTCAAACCTAGTTTTTAAGGCGTCGAGGAAGAGACCTACATCAGCTAATTCTCTGGCCTGGTCGCTGTACAGGTCAGCAGCCCAAGCGGCAGCCTCTCCCTGCAAACTCGCCGTCACGGCAACCACCATTGCCCAATTAGACGAGTATAGGGTGGTGTAACGATCCAGATGGTTGAGCACATGGTTTAGGAATACAGCCAGGCCATCTGGATCACCGTCAAAAATGAGTGTAATGGGAGGTGGATTCCATATCATAGCTTGGGGCCATGGGGCTGGTACCTGGCCTCCGTATGGGACATTTTCTGGGTGCAGCACAGGGCGGGTTCCTGCTCCTACGGGCCCCTCCCCTTGCCTATCAGGATCCGACGGCGGAACTCCAGTCCCTCGTGCCCCCAGCCTGTACTGGGGACGCTCTGCTGCGGCCTGTCTCGCCAAGGGGTCCTGGAGAGGGAAGCGGCTACTTGGCTGTAATTTGAGCTTCGGACTCGGCAATTGGAAACGGGAGGATTCAGATGTTACACGCGCCCCTGGGGCGCCTCTAGCGTGGGGACGGAGACTAGCGGGATAAACGCGTTCCCCAAACTGCTCCCTAAGAACGTCTAATGTGTATTGCCCCGGAGCCGTGGAACAGCTCCATTCCTCTTCATCTTCCCCGGTCACCCAGCGTTCTCTCCAACCACTCAAATTCGGCGCCAACCTCCGTTCCCTGCTGTCCTCCGGAAGCCACAGCACAGGACTAAGCCACCATTCGCCGTCCGCAGCTACCGAGCCCTGCTGCCTCGCCCCTGGCTCCGTGACCCCAGGAATGTGCAGCTTCTCCTTCGGCCGAACCACCGACTGATTGTCTCCTGCGTCGCCGACAGCTGGGCCCTCCGGCTGTTTGGCAGACTCTATTGACTCCTCAGACTCCACCAGATCCACTCCCTGTGTTCCCTCCGCCATTTTGCCACGTTACTGGATGGCTTCGGGGTGAGTGCTAACTTAATGACAGAACGTCCTAACTGTGCTTCAGGAAAGCCAAGAAACAGGAACGTTGCAGTATCCAACAAGTTTTATTCACTATGTTGAAAACGAAGTTAGCACTGGGAGGGACCTTGCTCCAGCGCTCTAAATACACCATATCACCATGCCCAGAGTACACATCCCAATTACCACTCATAACGAGATTCCACCCGTGCTATCCCAGCTACCCCCGTGATAAAACTCCACCCACACCACGCCCAGCCTAACCAACATGTAAATCCATTATTACATTAAGTCCTAGTGTTGCATTCACACCATTCTCCTGCTATCCCAGAGTCCAAACCTGTCAGACCCAGTGTCCCAGCCAAAACTATGACATATTACGCTTCCCTAATTCGGCCCCTCCCACTTGCGGCAATGCATAGCGGTTGTCCGAACATCTGCTATCCATGTTAGGTGGTCACATGGTCTGTTCGCCTGCCGCTGTAGAGGCGCCAGCAACAATCTTGTAACAACGTTGGCGGTGCAGTTCACGACGCCATCAAGATCGACTGGGAGTGCCTGGATCACCCGTTGTAACAGTCGATGCCGGACTGTTGGCAGGTAGGTATCACGCTGGGTCTGACAGCCAGGCCACTACCCTTCCTTTCACTACCCTCCCACTCCGGACTGCCATGCTACAGAGGATGGGCGGGGGAGGCTCGGTTGCCTTACCATTTCCCCCTCCGCCGTTTCGGATCCAGGGGGAATGACGGCAAAAGGCTCCGCTGCTGCCGCGCACCACTGGAGGGGCTTTCTTCCCACTTCATCCCACAGATAACCTGCCAAGTGGCAGCCACTGCCGCCTTCTCATCCACCAACTCTCCCGTGCACTGGTGGGATTCAAATATGTGAACAACCGGTTCTCTGTGTGGATGCTGCTTCCAGAAGTCCATTCTAGGCCTGGGCAACAAAAGATTAGCTACCAGTTCTACTGAACTGGTGCAAGCTGGCTGAATCCTACCACTGGTCCAATGGCTTGTGCCGTGACCAGGCAGCGCAAGCCTCCCCTGCCACCTCCCTCTGCCAGCTCCCTGTCCCCACCATCAGAGAGAAGGGAGAAGATAAAATAAGATAACCTTTATTGTCATTTTTTTTACTATAGGCACAACGGCACACATCAAAAATGAAATTTAGTTGCCTGCTCTCAAAGTGAAACACACCTAAACATACTATGTACAATGCATGCATAGACCCACACCCCTACATATACGTAGCAAATAAATATCAAATACTGTCCATCTTGAATATATAACAGAAGGAGGAAGCTTGAGAGTTCACAACATTAATGCTATATGGAATGAAACTATGGCTGAATCTGGATGTTCTACTATGGATACCACATACCACGAAGCCGCCTCCCAGAAGGTAACAAGGAAAACAGGTCATGAAGAGGTGTAGTGTCCCAAATAATCTTATGGACCCTGCTCAAGCAACCCTTCTGTGCTACCTCCTGGATGGGAGGGAGGGGTCCGCCAATGATCTTTTCGGCCAGCCTCACCACTCCCTGCACCACCTTCCTGTCTGAAGCAGTGATGCTTCCAAACCAGACTGTAATGCTGTATGACAGGATGCTCTCGATAGTCCCCCTGTAAAAAGTGGTCAGGACAGGGGAAGGAAGATGTGCTTTTCTCATGCAATTCACTGTTGAGAACAGGAAGGGAGGCTGCTCCGCGCAGCGATCCCAGAGCAGAGCTAAGGATATGGTAGCTACCGGTATGATTTTTGTAAGAAGCTGAGGGTACCGGTATGTGTGAGTCCAGCCCAGGCCGGCTCTGGGGAAAGTGGATCCGCTCCTCCACGCATAACCTCTCCGCGGAGCTGGAGAGCTTGGCACACCACCGCCCAGCTCCTCTCTCTTCCCCAAAGCATTCCTTCACTAACCGGCTTTCCAGCTCTGCCGCGTTTCTCTGCCGCTGCAGGAAAACAAAAGGAATTTGGGAGACTTTAGAAAAAAAAAAAGTTCTATCAGATCTTCTAACTCCGCGAGATCTTTTTTTTTTCCCCCGAGAAATTGGAAGGTACCTTGGCTCTTTTGTGACTCATGGACTTCAACTCCCAGCCAGCTATGCTGACTCAGGAATTCTGGGAATTGAAGTCCACGAGTCATAAAAGAGCCAAGATTTCCTACCCCTCTGGCTGAACTTTTTTTTTTTTTTACTGGTAGCCCCACAAACTTCTTTTGTTTCCCTATACGCAGCCGGCAGAGAAACGCAACAGAGACGGAGAAACGCGCTGGAGCTAGGAAGCAGATTAGCGAAGAAATGCTCGAAGGAAACGAGAGCAGATGGGCGGTGCTTCTTCTTACAGCAGAACGTGCAAGGGGCTGCAATTCATGACCCAAAGCCTGGCATGAAAACTTGCAGGAAAGGCGGCGGGAGCGCCGGTTGCTGCTGCTGCTGCTGCAGAGGAAACCCAAATGGGGCGTCTGCTGGCAAGCACGACTTTGGGGAGAGGGGCCGTCTTGGGAGGGACATCCCCCGCAGAGACGCCCCTTTGGAAAATCGGGAGCAGCAGCAGTATCGCCGGAAAGTTCCTTCCAACTTTTTCTTCAGTCTTTTGCATTCTGCCTCTTTAAAGAAAAGTAAGCAGTTTGGCAGGGAAAGTCCAGAAGCGGGGGGGGGGGAGGAATCCGATCTCACGTACGGGGAATCTGAACCACCCGCCTTCTCCCCCCCCCCCCATTCACTTCGCTCAATGGAACAGCCGGCTAGAAGTGAGGTTTAGCAGACCTAGCGAACAGGCAGAGACACGGGGGGGGGAGGGGGAAGCGTGCAGATTCTCCGTAAGTGAGACGGTTTTTTTTACTTGGTGCAGAATGCGGATCCTTGCCGGATGTTACTCAGCAGCCCCCACTATACCTCCCGCTGGAGCTGCGCCATGCACCCCAGGGAAGTCCTGCGCTGAGCGGCTTCGGCGGGTCTCTGGCAGGTGGAGGGAGGCAGCTCCACCTCCCGTCACCTGCCCTGTCTCACGTCTGGCAGCGGCAAGCCAGCGGCGGCGGGGAGGAGGGGCGCTCCGGAGATCCGAGGCTCGGCGGCGGGCCGGACGGGAGAGCTTGAAGGCAGCCAGGATCAGCCCCACGCCCGCCTCGCACAGCCGGTAGTCAGGACAGGCAGGCCCAGGGACGGCGCCGCTGCAACTGAAGGCAAAGCGCAAACCGTGGTCGCTGCCTGCCCCAGTGTCACAAAGGGAGCTGCGGAAGAGATGGGCCGTCGGCGGCAAAGTTGCCTGGCACCGCATGCATGGCGGGGACTGGCAAGAATGCGCCGGAAACACCTCCAGGGGACCGGAGAGATGGAACGAGAGGTGGGTCCAGGCCGAGAGCATCGGAAACTATTTTGGCGAAATTCCAGCCATGCTTGTTAACAGTGCGTAGGGCAATGATGAATCTGCTAGTTTAGCAGACTATCAGACACCACGTAACACAACCTCGCATCTTCAGTGGAACTCTTTTTCAAACGAACAGATCTATAGAGTTTGTATTAATTAAGGTTATCAGGTTGGGGTTGCAAAATCTGGATGACCACTACTTCACTAAAGAACTAGAGTTTTCTGTACCTCTTATCCATTAATATCTGGAAATTTGCAGCCCAGATCTAGTGGCCTTAATGAGCTTGAGAGATAATGCAGTAATGACCTCTCCCACATGCTTGTTGGAAGCTTATTTACTACTGCATTACATACCACACAAGCCTTTTAAGCTGAGAATGCCACAGCCACAGTTTAGTATACCATGGCATTTTTAAGACTGTGAGATACCTGAGGTAAAAATTTGAGCACTAGCACTTTTATTCTCACTGCATTCTATGTCTATCAATTTTTTTCCCCTCCTGTAGGTTTTTTCCCCCCATTGAAGTCAGAAGCCTAGTAAATAGTAGTGTGGACAGAATATCAAAATAAACAACAAACATTGGGTTTATATTTAGAGTTTGGAATGGAAACTCTGCTTTATCTATCTAATTCAGTGGTTCTCAACCTGTGGGTCGGGACCCCATTTGGGGTCGAACGACCATTTCACGGGGGTCACCAAACAACGCAGTCTGCCATTTTTTTCCCCTTTTCTTTAGCTGTGCTACTCCCTTTTATTCTATTGGCTTTTGAAAGCCAATAGAATAGACTCTCTTGAATAGAGTCTAATTCTATTGGCTTTCAAAAGCCAATAGGAATTGTCCAGGCTGTCTCTGCCCTGCTGAGCCCGCCAAAAGTCCCATTCTGCAAACGGTGCTGCAAGTTGTCTGCAGCGAAGGCGAGCTGTCTGGAAGCTTCCACCCCTCCCTGCTGAGCAACTACTAAAAATATAAGTAAAAGAGGGCCGGGGTGGGAGGTGGGAGGCCGGGGGGGCACAGGGAGGGTTGCTGGTGCGCGTGGGGCCCGGCGGGTGCCTTACCTCCCTTGGGCTGGGCCAGCTGGTGGCCCCGCCAGTGGTCGGCCTGCTTCATCTCTGCTGCTTGCCAGCTACGCCTCGGCCGGCGCAGGGGCCGGCACCATGCATGCACGGCGCTCCCGGGCAGGGAAAGTCCTCAACTTATGACCGGTAGGGTAGTCCTCGACTTACGACCGGTTGTTTAGTCCTTGACTTATGACCGGTTGGGGGTCGCGGCATTAAAAAGGTTGAGAACCACTGATCTAATTACTTTGAATAAAGGAACTGTTATTTGGATAGAGGGTTCTCCATTTGTGGGGCTTTCTCTCCCTAGAAACAGCCTGTGAAGAAGGACTTTACTGCAATGCTTACACATAAAAGGCTTCAGCTTAGAAATAGGGTAACTGAGTATGTTCTATGATCAAAGTTGTGATATGGAAAGAAGCAAAGCACTCTTAAAAACAACTCGTATTAAGGTATTTTTTTTAAAAAAAAACTCTTTTCTCTTTCAGATTCTATCCGTTGTCACACGGAATCTCTAGCACTTGTATTACCTTTGAAAAGATGGCACAGTTGATCTTTGCTGACAGAATTGCTTGACTTTTATACTGCATTATCTCTCTGCTGAAGTATTGAAAGGAAAAGCTACCAACAAGGAAACCAGTGAGAGTTGACTCAATTGATTACTGTCCATGAGAAACTTTAAGAAACATATGGATGGATATCCAGATGGTACTTGCTTGGAAGCTTGCCTTGCTATTCATTTTCAATAATGTGTCAAGTACTTTAGAGATGAAACGTAAGGAAAGCCAAGAAATTTGGTCAAATTTCACATTTGCTATGTTTTTCTGTCTCTTGTTCCTGCATAATGTTTGATAAGTAATCCCACACATTTAATTTTTTTTAAAACCCTTAAATAGCATTTGTTTAAAACATCTAAATGTGATGAATAGCTATCTTATAAGAAATTCAATATAAAATGCCGCTAAAGGAAGGACTCAGCTAAAACTTAAGAAACTGTCCACAGACAATTCCTTAATATCAGACACATAGAGAAACATTTCTTTTCATTCTAAAATAAGGTAAGTTATGTGGGATATCTGGGGAATAATAAACAATTTCACAGTGAATTTGGATTCCAAAATAGGATAGTCTAAGGACTTTCACTTAAAAATCATCCTGTTCTTTCCATTTGCTAATAGTGTCAGAAATAGCATAAATGAAAAAGATATAATTGGGTTGGATTGAATTTCAAATTCTAGTCAGAGCTAGGCAGCTTTAGATCCTATCTCTGGCTTGAAAAGGTAATGCAATCTTTCTGAATTTTCTGATTCTTTGATATTCTCAGGAAAGGTAGATGATTACATGCCAAGTATGGCTAACTTCTCAGTTATTTTTATTAGTCCATTAAGAAAACAGTCTTGTCCGTGTCTACTGAAATATATGTTCAACTAATTTCAGTGACTTTTCTTTCCAGGAAACAGTTAATAATCAAAAGGCTTAATCCTATATTCATGAGTCGTAACAAGTTAAAATTTCTAGTACTTCATATTACAACAATCCACATGATCACCAACAGTTTGCAGATCTAAAATAATCTGTGAGACTAAATTTACTGAGTAGAATTTGGGAAGCGTTATAGATTCTATTCAGCAAATTTATTCCAGTTTTGTGCAGTGATTCTAAAACAAATATTTCCCAAAATATTCCAAAAGTTTGAAAAATAATAGGAATTCTGTAAATTTGGGGAAATGTTGGGAAAGCCATTGGGTAATTCTGACATCCATTGACACTCTTGAGTACCATAATAACAATATCTCCATTGAATCCAACTCAGCTCCTGGTGATTTCATGACACGTCCATGTAATTTGGGGGGTTTAACTTCCACGTTCTGATACTCAATGATAGCCTCTTATCCAAGTATTAATCAGGTCTGACTGTAGACAAGGTTAGACAAGTATTCCACTTGCTAAGCAAAATGACAACAATAACAATGCATTGGCACCAACCAGTTTCGTATATTCAATTCAATTCTGATTTGTCAACAAACAGTTCTGATGTGAACTGTTAATTGAATTTGAAAACAGATTCAGTATAAAAAAGTAACTGATCAAATTGATTCAGGTTTAAATTTGAATTGCCACTTCATTTAGGGAGGATGTATTGAATTGGAGATTTAATTGAATCAACTTCAAAATGAATCTCTAAATCAATATTTATACAATCCTGAATAAAAGCGTTATAGTATATAAAATCTACTGTTTCAGGAAAATCCTGAAAGCTTCCTTTGAACTATATACCAATGTAGCAATTGTATGGGTAGCCTGATAGCTTTCTGGAAGTTCACTGGGTTGTTTTATCTGGACTACTGAATAGTAGGCATTGCATATCACATACCTATTAATAACTTTTTTTAGAAAGAATAGAGGATCTAATTGCTAAAGACTGCCTTGGTGTTAAGTCAAGAGGTGCTTATGTCTTATAAGCTTCGATCCTCCATTATGGTTATACCTGACAAGTCTGTTTGAACTCAATAGAAATTATTTCTGAGTGAATCAGCATAAGAGTTATGTTATAAGTTACTTGTGTTTGGATCTCACAGAAACCAATGGGACCAAAAGCATGTTTCCCAGTTAACTGGTCTTTAAGGCAGCTTCGAAAGAATTCTGCAAAACATTTGGGCAGTAAAGGTTAAAGAGCTGCCATATGGAAAAGTTTTATTGTTTTGTACTTTTATTCCTTTATTGATATTGTAAACTTCTTTAAATGGTAGGTGGTACATGATACACAAACTTTTGTATACATTCATTCATTCACTCATTAATATTCTATCTCTTGCCCAGGAGTTTAAGATGGAGAACTTTAGTTTCACTTACCGTAATTTTATTTCTACAGGGGCAACTCTTTGAGGTAAAATAGTCTAAGTCAATCAGTGGTTATCGTAGGTACTTGAATTCCTTAATTCATACTGAAGTCAATACTAGCCTACACTAGGTCTCAGTAAAGTAACATAATTCGGATTTAACATATTGAGTTTAATGCATTCTGCAGTTTCTGTAGAAGACAAAAGACAAATATTAAATATATTTTAATAGGATAAATGTTAACTGTAATAAGAATTTTGAATGTTTTCAGCTATCTATTTGTTGTTTATAAATATTAAAAGGTTTTTCAGCATATGGAAAATATCTAGAAAACATTAAATGCACTTAATTTAATTGAGTAATTGATTATGTGCCATCAAGTCAGTGTCATCTCTTAGTGACCACATAAATAGATTTTCTTAAATAATCTTCAGGTCTTGAAGATTGCCATTGCCATTGTAACAGAGTCAATCCACCTTGTTGCTGATCATCTTTTCTTCCAAGCATTATGGACTTCTCAAGAGATTTAGGTTTTTGCATAATGAATCCAGATTAAGATAATTTGAATTTAGTCATTATTGTCTCAAATGAGAACTCTGATTGATTTGTTGTGTAAATCAGTTGTTTATTTTCTTAGCTATGCATGATATTTTCATAAGTGTTAGAAAGACTTGGATTAATAGTAGATGAGAAATAATGAGAACTAACGTGAGCATCTTTGTATAGAGCAGAAAACAAACCATTATCTCTTTCCTTTCTCATTTTACTTGGATCATGTTCCAATGCAGCACCCAAAGTGATTATCCAGTCAGCTGGCTTCATACTGTTATGTACTTTTATACAATCTTTAATTCCTCCAGGAAAGAATTCAAATCTATACCATCTTATTATCTCTCCTCCCTTGGGCCAGTAGTACTTTAAATAGTTTCTTAATGGATTAAATGCTCCTTTTTACTTTTATCTTTCCATATGTATCATCACTTAATAGTTCAATAAACATTGAGCATCAGTGCACATTTATTAATCATGATGTGGTTCTGTGGACCGATTTGATCAGTGCAGTTTTATCCTCAGCAGTATCCATTTGGCAGTAGAAATAGAGAAAGCTCAGATATGTTTCTGTTTTATGTGGCTTTTATCAATTTATAAATAAAATAATAGATTTTACTGACTTGTTTTTACAGTTTGCATAATGGATTTCTCTGGTTTTATAAGATGAGTTTACCAGATTGATGTTGCCAAAAACACATGGCAGCCTAGATCTGATAGCTCTATTAAGACTGTGACCACAAAATTAGCTGCAAAACTAATTAGTACACCCAGAAGAAGGCAAAGCCAAGAGCGAGTGGAACATGGCAATCTCAGGAAGATTTCAAATAAGATTTTTAGAATTAAGCTCTTGCAGTCCCAATTCATAAAAATGATGGTCTTGGTCATTATGCAGCCATCCTCAACTAGATGGCCTCCAGCTATATGACGACTGCAACTCCCAGAATCTCAGTCTTATTAACTACATTAACTAGGAATTCTGGAAGCCACAATCCTACCACATTTAGAGAGGCACAAAGGTTGGGAAGGCTGCCATAAAACATGTCGCAAATATTAAGCCTTGTTTGGACATTCTCTATTCATAACATTGTCATTTCCATTTTATCACTATGAAATCCTCATTTATCCTGATTTTGCCAACGAAATTATCTATTTCAAGGACAATTCTGGGCCAAGTTAGTGATAACTGCCCATTTCTCTTGATCACATTGTCTTAGGTCTTTGCATTCTATTACTTCAATTGCTTATCTCTTCTGAACTTTTAAATAGGTGGCTTATGAAATGAACTAATCATTTTAAACTGTATAACTGTGAGCCGGGTACTCTGCTGTGTACTTGGTTATTGCATGCTGCTACTATGCACACTGAATTAAACAATATACTGTTTAAAAAAACATAATAAGATTGAAGTTGGTGTTACAACCAAGCTCCACACTTCAACCCTGAGCTACAAATATTCGCTTCTACAAGAAAAATGTGACAGTATGTTATGTATCATATAGATATATTGTATAAATCTGAGGCTTTAACTAGAGTTGCTAGATGGTAACAAAGACATAGACAACTCTCTGTTACAATTTATACTGGTTATTTGGATTTGTAAATTCTAAATCTAGGAGCCGAAGCTTCCCCAAATAATCAGATACCATTTGTGCAATAATGATATGGGAAGACAGAAAAAAAAATAACCTTTTACTCTGTACAGTGGAACCAATTCAAGCTGAAATCCCTATACCAGTGACTTCTTTTTAAACAATCACCCAATTGCAAATTGTACGAATGTTGTCTGGTAAAGCAGCAGCTTAGGATATATCTACACTTGCGGGTTGTCCTTATGTGAACTGACCAATAATGGTTTCTAAGAGTAAAAATTAATGACTTATTTTTCTGCAGTACTTGTGTACCGCCCACCATCATTTCACCTGCATTCTCCCATTGCAGATTTGAAGTAGAGTTTTCCAACTTGTGCTTGCTACACTTCACTTTCTTCTAGGCAACTCCTTACACTTTCATTGGCTTCTGCACAGAGGAAAGAACATGCCTTCACTTGAATCAACAGCAGCAACTTAGTTATTAGAAATATTTAACTTTCTAAGTTCTGCTGCAGAAATTGTTGTGACATAAGACTCAGTAGTACAGTAGTTATAATTCTTGGCTGACATGTAGAACAATATCACTGGTTTGAAATCTGGGAAAATCATGGCAGATTTGCTATGTAGACCATAGCTACCTACTTTTTCTCTGGGTTTTTTTTTTTTAAAAAAGTACTGTAATGTTGTATTTATTGTTTCCTCATTTTTGGAATAAATTGCAAAGGGTTTTATAAACAGATATACCTATAAAATTATGTATCTCAACTATCAGCTGTCTGCAGAAATGAGAGCAATTAGCAATTGCTTTTCTGGAATGGTAAGTTAGGAGGGGCAGAGCAACAGGGGAGTGGTCTACTGGGGTCCCTGGTAGCCTGTAGTCCAGAATGAATCCTAAGCAAGTCACTGGGAAATTCTCAGTCTGGAAAGGAGTTTTTTAAGCAGGCTTAGAGGTAAGCTGGCATTAGTGAAAGAGAAGAGCAGCTTAAGGATGTAATGTGCATGTGCTCTCAGCCTCCACAGATAGGCTAGCTTTCACTTGCTCCTTTACTTTTGGAACAAACGAATGTAGATTCTTAAGAGAACTGAGAAGGAAGGGGGCAATATACCAGCACATTGGCCAAAAAAATCTTTCTCCAATACTATCTGTAACTCCAAGATCTTTCTCAAGAAGGTAATAAGCAGCAAATTTAACTGAAATTACTCTGCAGATTTTATTTGGAACTACACAATTGGATCATCATTTTGGACATTTTTTTTTTTATCTAAAATGAGAAACAGAATGACCAAGGCTGGGCAAAAAAGCAGCGGGAGTGGAAGTGACTTCTGACTTCCTGCTGACTTTCATTGAGTTTCTTAGTAGAAATCTGGCATGAAATGTGGCTTTAACTTAATTGATTTCACACAGACACACACACACAGAGGGACAGACACATTTCTTTAACATCTTTCCCATGTACTAGACATAGCTATCTCTTGTGTTTCAGGACTGACACAAGTTTCCTTATGTAGTTGTGTGTGTATTCATATAGCTGAACTTAGGATAGGATATGCTAATGTCCTTTTCTGTTTTACTAGATCTGAAGGGACAAATCTGAGGTAAATGGTCTGAGAATTCCTCAGCTGAATAGTAATATTGTGAATACCTGTGTAGTTAAGAGGTTGTAAGAGTGTTCACAAACCATGACATTATAAATCTGATTTTATTTCCGTTTTGGTCTGACCTTTCAACTGGTTGCTTTTCAGCTGAAAAATCCTGCCATGAGACTTCTTTGGATTGTTTGTCTGGAAGACTGGTTTGATCTTTGATACTGATTGACTGCAGTAGATGAACCGACCAAAAGTCTCCAAAGAAACCACTAGATGGCACAGCCAATCTTAGTTTTTGCAGCAGCATCAACCAGCAGATGGCAACAATCAAACATATATTCTTTCCACATTTAAATCCCACTTCAATTAAAACAGAAAAAGCAAAACATCCAGGTGGAATTCTGTAGTAGAAAACTATCATTTCAGTTCCTTTGGTTTCAGAATTCTTATTTTATCATTTTTATGTTGTTCCCCTTAGCATACAAAATTTATATTTTAATTTTCAAAGGCACGTTCATTATTGGAGACCCTGACACACACACAACACACACACACACACACTGATTGGTCCACAAAGACATGACAATCCAGGGAAACAACAAGAAAGCAAAGCTAGTTTCCTCATTTTGAAACATTGCCAAGGATGGTAATGGTAACCTTTGGTACATTGTTCCTAACTTTTGTAAACTTATCTATAGGGTTGATATTAATCCATTATGGAAAATATGCAGTGGAGATTACGAATACATGGTTTTAGTTTAGAGTATGTTCCAAGTTATGTTACAACAAGAAAAATAAGGAAAAGAAAATAAGATAGAGGCAAGATGATTTTCCAAATAGATGTCAAGAGCCATTATATCAGACACCTCAAACTCATGACATCATGTGATGTATCAGAGCTTTTCCCCCATTGCCGGCAATGGGGTGGGTGTGGCTTCGTGATTCGTCCGGCCCATGAGCCGGCAGTTTGACACCCCTGCATTATATTCTAAGTAACTGGATTTATAGCACCATATCAAGTTTTTAAATAAGATGAGCAGCCATATATATTAATCAATCAATCACAGCTTAGCTGTATTTATTCAACTCACCTGTCTAATTTCATAGTTGGTATGATGTACATTAAAATTTCTACTCAGAGGTAAATCTCATTGACAAACACTACTTGTTTAAAATAGTAAGTTATTGAATCCATCTGCAATTGAAACATCCAATCCTATGTGTGTTTCTGGGAAACAATCTCCACTGATTTAATCTCAAGTAAATATGTATTAAATTGTAGCCTAATTTAAAAATCCCATAACGACGTCTCTTTAGCACTTTAATTAAATTCACTTCTCAGAGGAAATGCACAGGGTTTATTCAATATCTGGGATCTTGTTAAGACAAAATCTACAAGCAGAGGCTATAACTCAGGAATTCCTGCTATTTTCATGAGAAAATAATCTTAGATGGAAGTGTTACTCCAAAATGTTTTCCCTGCTCTATAGTGCTACCATAAGCCAGGATTCAAATCAGGTCTGTCACCCTACATTCTTTCAACAAGTGATAGGATTCACACAATGCTTGATCTTCTGATAAAGCTTTGTCAATCAGTAATCAATCTCCTGATTTATTGGCTGCCAGGTTGAAGACCTGTGCAAATTTTTATTGGTTTGTCCTTTGCCTAAGCCAGTGACACATATTGCATTGTCCAGATCTGGTGGCTGATTTTAGCAGCACCAGACAATCTGAGATGTAAACATGTAAAATGTCAGCTGTTACACAAAGGCCTAATTACTGCATGGCAATAGCATTCCCTCCCCTTTAAATACTACTGTGCTCATTAAACTCTTCCTGCTGTAAATGCTCAAGAAAACCAAGAATGGGTGACAACATCTGTGATTTTGCATGTGTGAGAAGCACATGCTGCTTATTTTTCTTCTGAAATCCTGAGAAGAATGTGCATCTGTGTGTATCTCACTGCAGGTGGCAGCACCTGTATGACCTTGAAATAATTCATGATAATAGAATATTCTGTGTACAAGTTATTGTTGATACCTTAACTAGAATGCAAGGAAGCAGGGAAAGAAGAAAGAAAAATATCCAATGTATCCTATAGTCAACTCTTCAAAGATTACATAAAGCCAGACTAAATAACCAGAACGGTGACAGATACAGTGAATTACAACTTCCGGCTTCTTTAGACTCAAGGCTAATAATATGACACATAGTTCAGCCACGATTAGAGAGCTGCAGGTTACTCATCCCTGAAACAAAACATGCCAGCCTTACTCAGCTTCTGGATGCTTTGTTGATATATGAATATTAACTCTCACAATCATTTCTTCATTAATCAGCAACTTTTCCAGTTTACCTCGTTTCCATTAAATCCCAAGGGATCCATTTTTAGGAAGGTAAGCCATCCAAGAAGATTTGCAATATAGGTATTTGAAGATATACTCTATTGTTCATTGAGAAACTCTAATTACAGTCCCTGAAACAGTCTGCTTCACATGAAAAAAAAAAAGTAACTACTGTGATATTCTCCAAGCATGAATGTCAGTGTGTAGGCTGTTCCCTTGGCTGTATTACTTAGGTAGAAATTTCTTCTGCATCTGCACCACAGCATCATCAAAGGAACACTTCTCTGAAGTCTTAGTTGAAGCTGAATACCCTTTTGAGCCTTTTCATGTGTCTAGTTGACAACCAAGAAAGAAATGTATAACAGAAACCACCATGACACCAGTATCAGTGACCAATCTCCAGTAATAAAATAAGCTCAAATCCATTATGAACAGAAATACAAATCAGCCTGAACATAGGTTCAAATATTGAAGTGTTTCCTTATTTTCAGGAAATCGGGATAAATTTTGACCCAACATTAAAAGAAATGTAAAAACAGAATAAAATGATAACAAAGCCGCCTAAGCTAAAGCCAGAAGCAGAGATCACACAACATCAAAGAATAATACAGCAGAGAATAAAAACAACCTAATACTTAAATACTTGAAATAATACAGAATTGTACCTACTATTGTGCTGAAAACCCAGTAAAATAGATGTCTCTAAGAAAAGCATTCTGCAGCCAGAATTAGAGAGACCCTTACTTTCATTTGATCTCTCTTTTTAGAAAGGGACATTAAGAAGGCAATTAAGAAAATCAGCTCAGAATTTGGGGCAAGTGTATACTTTCTAGAACAGAGATGGGAAACTATGGTCCCTTTATGATTTGTAGACTTAAACTCCCAGAATTCCTGAGCCATAGATACAGAAGGTGTTTAGGTTGCTGGCTCAGGAATTCTGGAGTTTAAATCCACAAGTCATAAAAGGGCCATAGTTCTCCATCCCTGGTTTAGAAGGAAACAAACTTTTTGGTGCCTTGATTCCCAGATGAAAATATTTTTTTTCTTTTTAAAAAAAGAGTAAGCAATTTGTGGGACTGGAGACTGATGGCCCTGGGAGACAGAAATATTGGTCTTCATGGAAAGGCAATTTTTAACATCTATCAGCACTAGTTCTGAAATATCTGATTTTATTCTAAAATTTGTCAACCCATAATCTGGCCTGATTACTTTTCATTCATTACCATGAATGAAAGTAAACAGCAAAATTTAAATGGTGTTTTTCATCATGTATCTTCATAAGGAATATGTCATTCTATCTTTATGTAGGATAGAAGAGAGCACAAACTGGGTCATTAACATCATTAAGAGATGCATCTGCCCCTCTTTGAAAACTTGTGCTTTGAAATAGCTCTAGGGATGTACAATTTAATGTTGAAATGATTCTGTGTTCTGATTCAAACTTTAAAGCGAGGAACAAAGAGTTATAAGGTTTGCAAATTATTTCTTTTATCTCTAATTTAGCCTTTGTAAATTGGCCTTTGTCCTTTACAAGCAGAAATTTTATATGCTAATGCAAATGTAGAATGTAGACAATGAAAGCAGCTTTTAAGCTTTCCCTATTCCTTTTCAAGCTTTTATCCCAGTTCAAGGAAGCTAAATCTGGTATATTCAAAAAGATCATTATTTGTTATCATACACAGAATCAAGGAATTTGAAAGATATGTGGAAATTACTTTTTTTCCATACTTTACATGAGTATGGAAAAATACATTTATCTTTATTTTTCAAGAGAGATCTAAAAACTGACCTAAACACCTTCTGTATCTATGAGTTGTCAGAACAGTTCAGAACAGTTCGAGAAGGATATTGAACATATACTAAGAGTCTTTACCATCTTTCATGTGTGATGGAAAAATAATAACAATGTCCAGCTGTCAGACTTTTAAAAGTGACTTGTGAAAAGTAAACATCAGCAATGTTGATAGAAGTGAGAAGTGTTGGGCCACCTGTCCTTTGGAAGCGAATCCATGCACATACCTGGCATTGCACATATCCTGTTTCTCTTCTTGCCACATACTCATCCTTTTCCATGGGACTTTACCTCCCACACTTTCTGTCCTCTATTGGTCAGAAAAATACTTCTGATTCTTGTAGTGTCGTGAAGGAATTTTTCTTTTCTTTTTTTCAGGATTGTAATTGTGAATTTTATTAGGGATTGCCAAGCAAATAGATGGCAGCAATAAGATAAGGTGTTTTCTATGGCTCTTTGCTGCCATCTTGTCATTCAGATATGGTAAGGGCAGGATGGTAAAAATTAAGCAACTATCAGCCATTTAAAACTACCTTTTGAATGCTCAGAGGTGATAGCTATAGTACTGTACAGTTCCGCCCCCAACTTTTGGACACCAGGGACTGGTTTTGTGGAAGTTTTTTTCCACAGACTTGAGGAAGAAATGGTTTCAGTTTCGCTTGCTCGCCTGTCTCTCACCTCCAGCGGTCTGTGGCCTGGGAGTTGGAGACTCCTGCTATGAGATCTGAGGCAAAGGAGGTGTATTTTATGCAACAAAGTGATTTCTCCCCCTCACATTGAAGATGTTCCCTAGTCTGGTAATGAAATGTTTGCAAGCAAACAGCCAAATTCAGAGAGCTCCAAGCACTCTACAGTTCAACCCTGAGCTACAGATATTCTCTCCTATTATCGTGCCTTATGTATTATGAATTATGCCTCATTTTAAACATAGTTTGTTACACAAGCCATAGTGTCTGTGGCTGAATTTAACTTGGAGATAAGGCTAGTTTACATTGAAGGAGAGATTTGGTTCTTCCTCAGTTTTTAGCTAAAAGTCTTCTTTGCAATGACTGACTTGCTGTTTTAATTCTAGAAGAATCATTCCAAATGATGAGGAAGAGAACTGTGGAGAAAGAAGATAAGCTGTATGAGCTACTCAGATAACATCCCTCGGATATGGATTTACAAGG